ACAGGGCCCAGTGGCCAAGGCAAATTACAGGTTACATGATTTCACATCAATAGTCACCTATGATAGGGACAGCCGGGTTGTCCTCTTTCTTTTTTTTTTTTTTTTTCCAAAGCCCAGGGTGTTGTAGAGGCCAAGGTCCAGACCCGTGGTGATTGCTGGTAGCGGCAGCCAATGGTCGTCCTGACAGGATAGGCCACCTACCCTACCCGTCCCCACATTAATACTCCCAGCGCCCCCCCTGTCCCTACTATCATACCTCAGTGTGACCAGCACTCAGGACCATCACCCTACCAGTATTGAGGGCAACTTGGACCAGACAGCAGTGACAAGCACCAGGGCTGGGCCAACCTCCCAGCTCTAATGGAAGCGGAAGCGGACAAACCTTGCCGTACGGGAACTTTGGACGCCAGGCTCATGCAATCTTCTACAGGCCCAATTCAGAGAGTCTACCCAGCAGGATTACCTAAGCAAGGCAGGCCAGCGCCCGCGGACACATCCTACCGTCCTTCCCCTAGCTTACCCAAGGCTAGGCAGAACTCAGACTAGGCGGAGCGACTTATATCCCTACCCTACCCTAGAGCTAAGCCATGCATGCGTAGACCCCATCATATACCTGATCGACCCCCCCAGCCCAGTATCGTAGTTGTGTGTATATGTGTGTGGCCAGAGGCTATGTATGTTTGTATGGGCCCATAGTGCCATGTTTTTGTGTCTGCCTGAAGGCTATGTGTGCTCTGTGTAGCGAGGTATGTGTGCCCGAAGAGCAGATATGTGCAGCACTATGTAGAGGGAACTATGTGTTCGTTTGAAGAGATGACAGGCCAAGCTGGAAACCCCCCCAAAGTCCCAAGCCAGACTTGAACCCGTGATGACATGTGACCTGAAGACTCTACCTCACATCAGAATGTAAACAGTCGAAAGATCAAAGGAGCAAAGAGGTAGAAGAATTCCTAGAGCCACGAATCAAATCCTTAACAGAGCAACAAAAAGAGATGCTTGAGAGCCCCCTCACAAAAGATGAAATCTAGACAGCCCTGATGATGATGGAAGAGGAGAAAACCCCTGGAATCGATGGCCTACCAAAAGAATTTTGGGAAGTCATGTGGGGCTTCTTTTTTTTTTTTTTTTTTTTTTTTAAACCGGGCCCAGCGCCCAAGGCTGATATTACCAATAATAAGATTGAGGCCGGGGTCCTCACAGTCTGCCCGGAATGAACATATGGAAACCGCTAATGATGACCATGATGATACTAATGACACTGATTAATGATGCTAATTAGAATGATGATTCAAAAATATGAAAAATTAAAGAAAAATATGCTATATCAGCTATTTTGGCCTCCTAATCCTAGAACAACTCCCAGCCCTCCCTATACCAGGACACTKTACCTCAAAGACARAACCACCTAACTAATTGTCAACCATAGCTGATCTCTTCTCGCTTYATTGCAGCCCCCCCCCGGTTCACCACTAGACTGCCTTCCACCCTCAGCAAACCCCAGATCTCTCTACAAGGCCTCACGCTCCTGCTATTAACAGGTTACAGGGCAACGCCCCAGCTCCGGCCAGCGTCGTTCTGGCATCGACAAACCAAGGGCACATAACAGAACAACTCAGTTGAAATCAGTCCAGGTTCAACCATCTCTGAAGTCCTATATCCCGAATGTGGAAGAATGCTAGATGCTGCCAAAACTTCAGAACACCAAAAAGCTTAGTATAACAATAATCAGATGATGAAACTAATGGTGTGATGATGATGAAGATGATAACGATGATGATGATGATGATGATGATGATGATGTTGATGATGATGATGATGATGATGCTATATCAGCTATTCTGGGCTCCTAATCCCAGTACAACTCCTAGCCCTCCCTGTACCAGGACACTATACTACAGAGACAGAAACAACCTGACCAACATCAACCATAGCTGATCTCTTCTCGCCTCCTTTTTTCAGCCCCCCCCGGTTCACCACTGGAATGCCTTCCACCCTCAGCAAACCCCAGATCTCTCTACAAGGCCTCACACTCCTGCTATTTACAGGTTACAGGGCAACGCCCCAGCTCCGGCCAGCGTCGTTCTAGCATCGGCAAACCAAGGGCACAGAACAGAGCAACTCAAAAGATATCAGTCCAGGTTCAACCATCTCTGAATACCTATATCCTGGATGTGGAAGAATGCGAGATGCAGCCAGAATTTTAGAACACCCAAAAGCTTAATATAACAATTATCAGATGATGATAGTCGAGAATTTCAGCACACCTCCATTCTCTCCATTACCCTATCTCTCCCTTTACTCTAATCTGCCCCCGCTGGGATTTGATGCCCAGCCCCAGAAAAGAGTATTCCTCACAATCTGCCCATACCCCCTTCAGGATTCCACCTCCCTCCTAATGAAACCCCTGCGGGGCAAGGCTCTCCCCTACCCCCTTACCAAATTGACATTCCTCTTTGATTTTGTTGGAGGCGAAGGATATCGCCCTGAAGATAATGATAACGGGAATGCTGATGATGATACGAAAAGCGACACGAAACCTTGAAGAGCAAACTCTACTGATAACAAAAAGTTATCGATAAAGATGATGATGATGATGATGATGATGATGATGATGATAAAGATGATGATGATGATGATGATGATGAAAATTAACCAATGATGATACTCATGATGATGATTATGATGATATCAATAATGCTGCTGCTGCTGCTGCTGATGATGATGATGATGATGGTGATGATGATGAAGATGAATATGATGATGACGCACCAATAAAGATGCTCATATTGATGATGATAATGATGATCATATGTCAGTTATGCTGACGATGATGATGAAAATAATGATGATGATGATGTTGATGATGATGATACTGATGATGATATGATTATGATGATGATGATGAAGCTGATGAGGAAGATGAAGCTGATAATGAAGATGATGATGACTCGCCAATAAGGATGGACATAATGATGATGGTGATGTCAAAAATGTTGCTACTGCTGCTGATAATGCTGATGCTGATGTTGCTGCTCCTCTCTGTCCTTTTGTTGCCCAACACTCCCGCTGCCACGTTCTTTCCACCTCGATGTTGAACATGAAGATGATGGTGATGATGATGATGTTGATGATGGCGACGATGATGACTAATGTCGTTACTGATGATGATCATCATGATGATAATGATAATGAT